TCGGTAACACTACTCTTTACCGCACCTTACAGCCGATCTCCCAAGACCGATCAAAATGGAGGCAGCTGGTGCATCCCCGATGATCCCCTAACAAGGAGCCCCCTGCTAGATAGGACTGCTGACAAGTGGTCTAGACTTGGANNGAGAGAGAGAGAGAGAGAGACGTATAGTCGCGGAAGTCAAAGTGGCGACTTCACGAGCCGAAAGACCCCCGCGCAAGGAGACTTCACCTGCTTGAAGCCATGCCGTAGTGACTGTAGTGGCTTTCAGAAACGAGCGAAGAGCGACCTGCCTCCAACACAACCTTTGAGCAATATGCTAACTCCACCGGAAGCAGCGAGAAGAGCACGCAACGACACAGGACAATCTCGAGAGATGGTCACCACAACCACTTTCAGCATCCGAAAGAATCCGAGCCATCATGGCAGTTTCATTCAAAGGATGAGCTGGGAAGGCAGAGCACGTGAGAACTACTGTCTTGCAGGGACTTGCCGCTGAAAGACGATTTCTGGTATGCTGCAAAGGGCTCAGAGAGCTTTCTCTGTGCATGGGGTGGCTGTTCTGCTGCAAAGTCGACTCATGTGACTGTGCTTTGCTCAGGCGGCCTACTTTCAGCAGCAACCGGACGAGGACCGGACCAGCTGTGGATGGAGTGAGAGCAGATCTTGTTGCTACCAGCGAAGACTAAGTATCAAGCTGCAGGTTTATGATTCTTGTCTTTCCGTCTTGAAGTAACCCTTTAAAGAACGAATCGGTTAATTGCAGGAACCCTTCAATAAGAGAAGAACAACACGGATTGGCTAGAGGCAAGCAAGCGACATTGTGTCCAACGTAGCCTGGTTGTGCGAGCCTTGACCATCTGGCCAATGTCGCATCGTTGAAACCAGTGGAGCGGTCGCCAAGGTTGTCTCCCAGCATGGCTTTCTGGCATTTTGGGCCCTCGTCCAAGCGATGTGTCGAACTTCACAGGAGCAAGCCGTGCACGGCAATCCTACCGGTTTGCTGGTGATCACCTCTCCTTTCCAGCGGCTTGAGTTTTCCTTGGCAGTTTTGAGGCCGCATTGGTGACAGAGGTAGGCAAGCACTTCCAGGAGTGCTGGGCTCGGTGGGGTGCGAGGGTCATAAGGCCGGCTGGCTTCCTGCACCTGTCCCTTTGTCGTGTGGCATCCGAGACGGGGACCAGATGTACTCGAGGAAGCTCTGGTCTCAGCTGGAAAGCACTAGATGCAAGGCAGTAGTTACCAGTTGGAAATTACAAGTTGCTGTTCCTTCGAACCTCCCCCTGTTACCCGAACCCTGGTGTGTAGTGGTGTGTTAAAGGGAGCGTACACTCGAGGGGAGATTCCAACAATAGCCACAGTAGGATTGCTAACCGAGCACGGGCAACACAAATTCAAGAATAGCAGTAGTTCTAATTTGGGTGCTGTTAGCAGCAGCAGCAGCAGTGGCAGTACTAAGCGAAATGTGACATCTTGCTGCAGCAGCCGAGGCTTCGGTCGGCTAGGGACACATGCCATGAACTGCAGCCTGCAGCTCAAGCCAAACTGCACGCACGTTTCGTGTTGCCGCACGTTTCGTGTTGCCGGCACAGTCATGTAAGGCCTATTGTTTCATGCGAATCTTATGGCACATGCTGGACAACTGCCGATACGGAGATGTTCGGCGACACTTACGGAATGGCACTGGCGCTTGCTGTGCCGGAGGCAGGACACAGACCGTTCAATTGGAGAAGGTTGTTTATCATCCTGATCGTGGCACGCTCTCGCTTGTTGCTGTCGGGCATCTCTGAGCACCTTGTCTTCCCTGCATGCCAATGATGTGCACTCATGACCTGCCTGTTTTCGGCTCAAGCGTGGCTGGCAAGTCGTGTGGCTTTGTGGTGGAGGTCGCCTACTGGGCCGCCTCCCACCGCCAGTAGGCCGGGCGCGGGCGCGGCGGGTAGGTTTGCAGCTTTCGCTTGTCTGGTTCTCTGACTTCTGTGGGATCGGAAGCACGAAGCCGAAGGTAGGTCCGGCGTCATGGCCAAGAATGCCATGACGCCGGAAGAGCAGCTGGAGGACCTGCAGAGGCGCTTCCAACTGCTGGAAGGTGAATCTTTGTGGCCCTTTCTGGAGTTTGCGAGACTTTTCTGTGTGCATTTTGTGCCTTGGTGTGCTCTTGGAGCTCAGGAACGCAAAGCAACATACGAGACTGCCAAGCTGAACATACAGCAAAATAAGGACAACTCCTCTTCATCACTTGCACAGAGTGTCCCTGTGGCATGTTCCAGCGACGGCTTCAGGAGATCATAGGCCAGATGAAGGATGAGAATAAAACGTTGCCTGCCTGCACGAAGACCACTTTGGAGCTGGATAGGAAGAAAGCCGGGCCTGCGCTGTGGCCAATCCAAAGGCTTCGAAATCAGATTGCAACGCTGCGCGATGAGAAGCCGCAGTCTTTAGAGAAGATCCTAGAGCAGACCTGCCACGAAGTTCAGCAGATGCAAAGGACAGCACTTGCTGAAGTTGGAGCTTCATATTTTTTACAAAGTGCATGACATGCTTATGCAGAAGAGGAGATTCGACCTCCTGAAGAACGAGAACAACAAGAGGCCCAGGGCTTGGATAGAGCTGTTTGTACATGTGCTCAGAGTTTGGCGCGCGAGGCGAGGGCACATAGAGCAGCTGAGCATCAAGCAGGGCGAGCTCTCCATGGGCTCCAAGATGCACTCTAGTGAAGCATCTCCAGAGATGCGACATATCCGAGTCTTGGAGAACCGGCTCGACAAGGTGATGATCAAGTACAATGAAGCGCAGAGCATTCGGAAAACCTACGAGGCCATCGTCAAGCGCTTGAAAGATGAGCGCATCGGCTTCGACAACCAGCTGGCGGCCATCGAACGAACCTTGAAGGCCAAGGAGCGCGACTATGAGGAGCTTCTTCTGCTTTCTCATGATGCCTACCACGCCAAGGCCGGAGCTCGGCCAAGCCAGGGGAGGGGAAGAAAGTTCTCGTTCTCTCTTTCTTCCCTTGCTGCCTTCAGGAGATGGCGCAAGCCGAGCTACATCGCTTCGAGCAGGGGGTGATGGAAGAAAGAAATCAGCGGGACAAGGAGGTCCAAGAAAAGAAGATTTTGGTTGAGCAGCGTGTCGAGCCTCTTGGCACGGTTTCGGCTGGCAGTGTACATGATTCATCACCATGTATAATAACTCGTCATGATTCCATGTGCTAGGGGTGACTCGCCTGTGTTGTCGCGTGATGTGCGACTGCAGGATGAACAAGAGACTGGAGCTTCGAGAGAAGAGTCTGAAGCAGCAGCCCGAGACAGACAAAGGACACGATCGGTCGCTGAAGGAGGCATCGGTTGCATCTGAGTTCACAGCAGGCTCGGCGTTGCCAAACTTCTTGCAAGTACCCGAGAACATGCTGAAAGTGAACTCTGTCTTCAGAGGCTACTCCGGAGATGCGGCACAAGAGGAGCTTCAGAAGATCATGGACTACAAGGCCACTGCTGACACCCTGAGTATATCTGGGTGTCACTGTTTCAATTTCGGTGGAAAATTGCAGGAAGCAGTGCAAGCAATCAAAGATGCCACAGGCTCGGGCTACGGTTCCATGTTCGTGGAATAGAATATCCATGTGCATCCGCAGAGCTTGATAGACATCATGAAGTAAATTAATGCAGATGCTGAGTCTTGTTTCACCTTCCATGATGGAAACGTATCAGGTGTTAGCGATGCCAACGAGATCATCCAGAAGTTCCTCACGCAGGAGGACACTCAGAAGAATTTGCAGCAACTCACCAAGGAGAATCAGGAGACCATCGACAGGTCCCTTGGAACAGACCGTGGCTTTCCTTCACCTGTCGGGGTTTGTGGCCAAAATCGAGAACAGCATCTGCAGTTGCGGACCAGAGGGGCGTCACGCTGTGATGTGGCCTGTTTTTTCAGACTTTCAGGCTCACCGAAGATCGCAAGAAGCTGCGCCTTCAGGCGACGCTTCAGTTTTGTCATGCTGCTCCCACACTGACACTGTCAAGCTGTGAGAGGTGGAGGACTTGAAGTTCTCCAGCGGTGGGCAAGGAGGCCGTCGGCAGGCCGGTGGCGGGTGATGTTTATTGTGCATGCTCAAATGTGTGACAGGCTGAGCAGTGCTGAGGCCATTGACGACTTCGAGTCCCATCTGGGGGAGGCGACAGAGAAGTTTGAGCGCAACCGCGGCAAGTACGAGAGGGTGGCGAGGACGGGAGCGGTGTGACAGACCTGCGAACAGGTGATGAAAAGCCTGTCGGGTCTGTTTCGCGACCCTCCGGGATGCAGGTATACAAAGGTGTGTATAGTTTGTATTCAAGGGATCGCACAACTCCGCCGCAACACCTGAAGAACGTGCATTGGACCATAGTAGCGACCGCGAATTGATCAGATTCAGCTCATTTCATCGGAGACATTTCGTCACAATGATCGATCGGCAGGCTTCTGATAGACATGAAGGCTGGCATTGGGCACCTGTCGGAGAAGCTTCAAGTCGTGAAGCTGGAGGGCGAGACAACTATAGACCCGAATGCGACTTTGCCAATATATCTAATTGCTCCAATGTTTACACAAGCAAGGCATGAAGCGTCACGGACGACATCTAGACCAGACGTTAGTGCACCATCCGTTGTCCTGTGATACTCTGTGCGTGCAAGACGCTCTTATGCCTACTTTTGTTGTTGCGATTCTGCAAAACAACCGATACGTGCTATCAGCATGCCAAGCATCTCGCTTCGTCGTTGTCGGTCGTCGTCATCGTCGTCGTGATCGTGGTCGTGGTCGTGGTGGTGGTGGTGGTGGTGGTGCTGGTGCTGGTGGTGGTGGTGGTTGTTGTTGCTGTTGCTGTTGCTGTTTCAAGTTTGCAGTTGTCTTGCTGATGTGCAGTCCGTGGTAGCCACTGCTATGCTGCAGACGGAATTGGACCTTCTGCGATGTGCTGCCGTCTTTATTCTACTGTCTTTTCCTCAACACTTGGGGCTGGGGGTTTGAGACTCCGGCCATGTGCATCCGAGGACGATAAGATCGAGGTTGAGCACATGTTGGAGCAGTGCGAACTGAAGATCTCGAAGCTTCTAAGTTTGACTGCTCCGTTGGAAGACGTCAGCGACCGTCAGCGACGAATGGACGATGCAGCCTCAGTCAGATTTGTCAAGCTTCTTGCAAGTCTTGCCCAACTCATTTCTGTCTCTGTCCGAGGACGAGAAATACGAGGAGAAGCTCATGCTGCGAAGCCAGTCTGAAGCCCGCATCAAGCTCAACGTCCAGGAGCAGCGAGAACGACATGAAGGGTTTTGCTGTCTCATTTATAAGGATCCGTGAGGCACATGTGAGGCACATTTCTGCAATGGAGTTTGAGAATGTTTCTGGTTGCGCTTGTTGATCCTGTGGCTACCAGTAGCACCCTCGACCGACCCGATTGTTCAGGAAGAAGAGCATGATGATGACGACGATGATCTCGACGAAGAGCTGGACGATGAAGTTTCACATCGGAAGCAGATCAAATACAACAGCGAGCGTGTTGAGCAGCAGCAGCAAATCAGAAACAAGCGGAAGGCTAAGGGCAAGAAAAAGGATGCATGAGCCGTCCCTTGCATGTGTGAACGATGATTCAGGATCAACTGATCCTTGCATGTTGGGCGAAGGTCTATCCAATGGTAATTTGGCTTGAAAGAAGAGCACCCACAAACCTTGTTTCAGGATGTCCTCTGCCTGGCTAACAGACACAAGCACTTGTGGAAGACAGCGCAGTTTTAGACTCGGGTGGTCCGGACAGGGTGTTCGTCTTGTCCAAATGTTGACAGGTGTCACTCTGGCTGGAAAAAATCCGAAGTAAGCCCTCTGTGCAGAGGGTGTTATGGCAATTCGTCGAAGATTTCGCAGGGCTTAGTCTTGGACGAGCGATTGCAAAGGTTTGTACATTATGCTGCACAGGCAGGAGGTGGGACCAAGGCCACGTTGGGAAACAGGTTCTATGCCATGCCTTGGAAGGAGATTGTCTGGTCATGGCCGCGGTTTCTCTCGGCCTTCCAGGATCCTGCTAACACGTGTGGGATTCCTGCCGCTGTTTCACTGTGCTCTGTCTCACCGCCAGAAGCAGTCGCGGAAAGAAGCCCCTTTGGTCTTGGTCTTTGCCACTGGCCCCCAGCTGCTTCAAGATCAGCCTGCGAGAACATTCCTTCTCTCAGTCTTGGTTGGGTGCCTTAGCGAGTCATATACGTGCAAAGAGCTAAGAGCCAAGTCTCTTGACAGCAGGCCAAACTCAACATGTTGACGTCCTGAACAGCCGCAGAGGAGGAACGTCAGATCCGCACAGCAGGCAGCTGCTCTGATCGTGCCATTTGCTTAGCATGCGCTGAACTCCAACATCGTGTCAGAATGCCACCGTGCGGATCTGACCGGGGTAGGTCACAGCTCAAGCCGTGAGGTATTTGATTCGGAGCAGAAGAACTCGTGGACTGAATGCAGAAAATAATTGCAGTGTTTCAGGTCTGAAGCCGCTCAGCATTTGTACCTGGATACTCAGTAGCCTGGCACGGGTTGCGACACTGCCCGCATCTGTGCTTGCGCAAATTTAATGGGTCAGACCAGTGGTAGAAGGATGGGTCGGCTCCGAAGCATGTTCGCGGGTAGCGCGGGAAGGAAAGGAACGTCTTTGGAGAGGCGTTGCACCACTTGTACTGATCCACTGGGGAACCAATGCTGTCCTCCGCACTGAACATGTGCAACATTCGCATTTGGCTCAGAGTGGTTTCAGGTAGTTTCCTATCCTGCTGAACCGGTCGGTCGCACATCTCCAAAGATGGGGTGCTCCTTGTGTGTAAAGGATCGCAAGCAAGATGCTGTCTCGTCGGCCGCTTCGACAACAGGTGATGCTGTTGGCGCCTCCAAAACCAAAGTCCATGTGGGACCCCTGGAAATAGATTCATCTGGTGTGGTTGTGAAGCCGAAGTTCAATTTAGGGGTTGCTGGCGGTTCACTCTATGCACTTGCCGGCGTCCGCGATGTACGTGATGGCTTGGCCGTCGATGGTCTGGCCATGTACATGAAGTCTTACTCATCTTCTGGAGCTTCCTTGGTGGAAGTACTTAGTGAGATCAAGGCGCAGGAGCCCATCCCAGTTCTCGATGACCTCATTACTGCCGTTCCACAGATTATTTCCCTTGTTCTGGAGACAGTTGGTGTGGACATCGACGGTGCCAATGTTGCTGCGGTGGAGGGTGTAGTGTATGTTTATGTAGGTGCTGGCGTCACGGCTGGAATTTACCTGGGGTGGGTAGATACGCAAGGCTATGCTATGATCGGTTTGGAAGGCAGAGTCGCCACAGCGGCCGGTGCAGCACTTGCTCTTCGTGCAGGGCTGAATGAGGAGAAGCTAGCCGCAAGAGTCGTGTCCTACCTCACAAATGTGGGGTTCGACATGGTCGTGAAGTTCCGTGAGCCATGCCAGACTGCCAAATAACGGGCCAAGATGGCCGCAGAATTTCACTTCTGCACAGGTGTTGCGAGGCGAGGACTCATGCCGAAGAAAGATGGACGTCGAGCCGCCCGCACACGTCACGCGATCTCCGGAGCTGCAGCCAGCATTTAGAATCTAGGTTCTAGATCCAGCGCCTCATCGTTTTCCCAGCCAGATGTTCAAGAGCCGACTCTGGCAACAGTCTGTGTGCATCGGAACATGGTCTCCACAAGTTATACCGCTTACCCCTTTGATTCGAGAATTCAGTGCGAGGCCGATGGCATAGCAAAGTGGCATAGATGTGGCATGGCGAAGCTCAGGTCGTGTCAGCCATCGCGAGTTGGCCCTCTCCTCCAGCAGGCCTGACAGCCTGTAACAGCCTGTGACAGCCTGACACATCTCGATCCGACTGCGATGATTTCTTACGATGCATTGTGGTGCAGGTCTTGAAGGAGCGACTCCATTGCAGTTGCCGCTGCTTGGCGGCGTGCCCGTGCCGTGTTGAACGCTGGTGGTGTCGGGTGGGCAGGGCAGGGTGCCTGGCCGTGCATCAGTTCTTGCGAGGTACTAGAGTTCTTGCCCATGGTACCGATCCGTTCAACGCCGGCAGACGGGAGTTGGCCCTCAAAGTCTGCTTCCGCAGTAATCACAAGGATCATGTGAGGCATTGCGGGCGTTTTGCAGCCATAACGGTGTATTTGGGAGCAGTGAGTCATAGACGATGCAGACACACTGCAAGTCCTCATCAGACGTGAGTGACCTGAGGCCTGGTGACAGCAGCGCCGGTCGTGCCGGTGGAATCCTCTGGACCTGATCTGCAGCTACTTACGTGGTTACTGTCAGCCTGGCAAGGAACCAGCCTATCAATGGTCCTCGCTGGCATGCACGGGAGCATGGTCAGCCAGGCGGGCTGGTTCCCGCGCTTGATGGCGAATCGGACAAAGCTTGAATTGAAATGGAGAGGTTGTCCGGCAATGCCCAGGCACCTTTACGTGGCTTATGGCTTTGTGAACAGACATGCGTCGATCTTTCGTGCCTGTCGTGTGTGGCTTGAGTGCAGTGCAGGCACTGCAGCAGAAAAGGGCAGGCGAGGCACAGGCAGCAGCATGGGCATCTGTTGCGACCGAGGAGCCGAAGTCTGCGAATTTCTCCAAAGGCTTCAGGTTCGAATAATTGCCGTGTTCATTTCACCAGCTGGAAGAAACGAGTACAGATTAGCAGCTTCCTTCTCAGCTTTGCACTGGCTCTCAAGTTCAATCACGAGTCCTCAACCCAGCACTGCGGGTCTGTGTGTTGAACTTGAGCATGAACCTGTCCAAAGTGCCTCCGCAGCCAAAACAACGACGACAGAAAGCCAACACCAAATCACTGAGTTTCGATCCTGTTTCAATCCGACCACCACGCTTGGTGCTGCAATGTTTGCGCTTGCTTTCGTTTGACAGTGATGCCTCTGCGCCCAAACGGTTCCAATTCTCAACGGACCTTCCGGTTGTGGCCTGGCACCAAAGTCGCAGGGCACAGGAATCAGTCGCAACAACACCGTTGGAAGACCTCCCATGCCGCTGACAATACAAGCGCCGGGTAGCACAGCTCCAAGGCACTGCCCCAAATATGAACCCGAGGAGACTCTGCACCCCAAGGGCCTGGTGTCGGCCACGGGATATCCTGCCGGTCCCAGCCTCTGCCGTGTGGTTGATGACACTAGCGTAACGTGCAGCGGCCTGTGCCTCGCTCACGATACTGTCAAGATGGCACCGACGCTTGGCAGCCCAAGTTCAATCAGGGATGAGCAGAGTGCAGCGGGTGTTCCCCACCGTTCAGGATGGGGAGCACCAACATGGGACATAATATCGTGCCTGAATGCCGGCAACATACATGTTGCCCCTCATGTTCGATGCGGATTACGGGTGGATTGGTTTGTGCTCCCGTTCAGTGGGATCCACTGAGCCATGCGCCTTCTGCTCTGCTGCTGCCTGCCTGCGATTTGCCGATAGACGTTGGGGCCTCGCCTCGTCCGTGCGGTGCAGAGCCGTTGGTCCTCCGGCTTTCCCTTTAAGCGACAGCCACCCAACTCCCTCCGGCTTTTGCCGGAACCGTCCAAAGCAGAAGCGCAACTCGTCTTGTGGTCTCGCGAGTTTCGCGATGCAAAGCGGAAGCCGCTGCACTGCGAGCGATTGTCCCGAGCGATGCCTCCTTGCCCAAAGAGGCGGGCCATGGCACGCGACCTTGATGCGCCCGGCTTCTTGTCGACCACACCTTCTGATTCTGCTTGACCACCACGTTCTGAATCTTCTTCTGCGTCAGGGCCTGATGAGCATCCTCGGGTGACCCGCACGGAACGTCCACCGTCGAAACGGAGCCACGGATCTATCTGTGCTCACTGGCTGCCGAAGGGTAAGGTGCGGATGCATGGGTGGGGCGAAGCACGCATCGTCCGTGTCACCACGAACGAGATGGACGATCGTGGACGAGATTTTCTTTTGGCGACAATCATGATTTTGCTTTGGAAAGTAAACCGGCGTCTGGTGGTGGCAGTTGGACTCCCCCGTGGCGACGAAAGAACCACAAAGCGACGGAGGATGGCTTGGCGAACAGGTGGTATTGGCCGGCACTAACGTACATGTTGGACGTGCTAGCCATGCAGGAAGCCTGCTAAAACACCGAAAGGCAGCTGTCTACGGCAGGGGACCACGTGAGCGCTTCTGGAGGTCGTCTGCTTGTGGCACTCCGGTTATTAGATCAACGTAGCTTCAAAAACCCGCAATCATGTTGATCGTTGATCGCGACAGCTGCGACAGTCCTGTGGAAGACTCAGACACCACCTTGTCGGAACGGGCTGCGCGGCGCTCAAGCTGCTGTTGTCGAGCTTTTGTTCGCTGCCGTTTTTGCTCCTGGGTCGTACGCGGCAGCAGGCTTGCGCTATTCGTACGGCCGGCTTCTGCGCTTAACGGCAGGCAGCTGCGCCGCTCGGCAGCTCTGTCGAGAAGCAGCGCCAAAGGAAACAGGCAATGCGAGGCCCGGCTGTTAAGGCGTGGAGAGGAGGGTGCTGGAAACGACTTGAGCAGCGAACTAAGGTGCAAACAGGCTCTTGTTGTTTCTGTTCTGAGGGTCTCACGCGCACAAAAACAGGAGACGCAGAATTCAATGCGATTTCGCGTTTTTTTCTGTTTTTGTTAATTTGTCCTTTGGTAGTAGCGCGTGTGCAGTTGAAATCAACTTGGCGAGTGTTGAAAACTCCTCACTGTATCACTATCGGCCATCGAGCCGGTCCGGTGGCTTGGCGATGGGCACTTCAAAAAACCGAATGAGCATGTTCGCGATTTTTAGCGGTGGAACATGGCTTACTGCGTGTCCACTTCGCACCACGGTCGATCTGCTGGTTCATGATATTCATGATCACGTCACATCAGACTAGCTGCAAACTTAATGACCTAATACAGGTTCACCCAACATATTCTCCTCAAGGCATTGAAGATTGGGGTTCTGCCACTGTTTGCACATTTGGATGAAGGCGTCGGTTTCCTTGCGCTGACCAGTTCGTGCCATCTCGGGTTCAAGATCGACCATTGCAGGCGCATGGAGGTCATTGCCAATGGTAGCGGGGGGGGGGGGGCCCGGCACACCACACTTTTTCTTATCCCTTTCTGCCCCCTCTCAATGTTCCTGATGTGCAGTGGCCGAACAATCGACGCTTGGGTTTGTGTTTGCCGATGTGCACCGGCGGGCGTTTGTGAAATCGCGCATGTGGTATCATTATGTGGTGCAACACTGTCCAGCCTCCGTTGATGGTCGGCTTCCTGTACAACTTTACTCTGCAGGGTGGGCGGAGGCAGGTTTGAAGTACTGTTCCTTTCGGGAGAATTCTTACACCCATTTTTTGTGCCTGATGTGACCGTGATTGCAGCATGCTCCACCAATGCCTGGCCCAACCCGCCGACCCTTCCGTGCGGATGGCAGGGGGGGCCGGGTAAGCTTGCTCTTCAGACGTTGGTTCCAGCAGCTGCCCACCTTGGAGCCGAGAACGCCGAACGTTTGTGGCCCACCACGCATGAGAGGCACCATCCACGTAAGCTGCACATGGCGGCTTGTGCCAAATATGTTTGAAAGTTGAGACACCAGCGTGGCGTCGCGGCACTGCGAGCCTCCCCGCTGCTCAGCGCACTGTACACAACGAGGTCAACCTGCGTTCATCTGCGCTCCGACGTCCGGGGTGGTGGTGTGGGGCACTTGTTGCTTCAGAACGACTCCGACACCAACGCGTCCCGGCCCGGGCGACGCGCACCCATACTCGTTCCGCCTGCTCGGGCACGCGAGTGCTGGTCGCCGAAGCCATCGACTGCTGAGCCGCAACCGTGGGATCTGCAGGCGATCTAGTGAGCTTATCTTCGCAACGGCATGGCCCGCACCATGGTGCCCCGGTAGGTCGGCAGTGTTCGGCAATGCAGCGCTACTGACAATTGCGCATGCTGCTCATGCTGCCTGCCGCCGCAGCCGCAGCTTCCTGCCAGTGTTCACTCGGCGACAGGTGTGCGGAAAAGAGCCCACAAAAGGCAAGACCAGGTGAGCCATGTGAATTACAGGTGCCAGCCCCTGGAGGGCAAGCGCTTTCCATCTGTGAAGCGAGCATAGAAGTTCGGCGGTCGATACGACTCTCTTACGACACAACCGACAAGATGATGCATCAGAAAAGATTTGCAACAAGGTATGAAAAGAAAAACAGTCAAGAGACCTAAGAGCGAACATGGCGAGATCAGGTGAGGCAGACACCGGCTCCTCAGCACATAGCGCCTCCGTCCTCTCATGGCAGTAGTGCCGATGCTATGGCATTATGGAAGCCATGATGACGCGATGTGTTCATTCCGACCTCGTCTACAAGGCGGAGCTTTTCAGCGACAATGAAAATCTTTCCACGCTGCTGAACCGAGTGGTGCAGCAGCGAGGAGCCAACAAGTCAGGTGACAAACAGGAACCGTTCAGGCAGGACCTCAGGGCGGCCATGGGAC